GCGTGATTTGTTGGGTACTATTGATGAAGAACTAAGGAGGTGACAGCTTTGCTTGTTTGTTGAGGTTGATTAAATGAGATTTTTTTCAACAAGCCAGAAAAGGTTCTCTGGCAAGAAACATACAATATGAACATGTATCAAAAGACTAGAGAAAACCCTTTCCGGCTGGCGGATTCTCTAATTCTGATTGGTGCTTTTGCTCGAGTTAACAAGCAAGCAAAGATAGCAAAAAACTGGCGCGTTTTATGTACTCATAACCTGTTAGGAATCGATAGTCTTAATTCGAAATCAAATGTACGCTACGTGACGTGCTACTTGAACTATCATTCATTACGAATGAGGACTCGTACCGGAGACCGGTCAGGAATGGGTGATTCCCGCAAACATATTAATATGTAAAAATGAGACCGGCCGGCTCGAAAAAAAATGTAAATTACATAGATTTTGGTTGTCGTGGGCCCACGACAACCAGAATCTGTGTATGTGACATATTTTTTGTTTGGAATCCTTGAGTTAGATTTTTAGTGTGACTGGGGACATGCGCACTAAATGATATGCGCGCTATCAACACTAAATATATACGGATTCATATATACGGATTCCAAATTCCAGAAATGGGGGGAAAATATGTAAGTTGAGCTGTCTGTCTGTGTGTTCTGTACCACTGAAAGTGCTTCCCGCTAACATAAACCGAAATATGTTTGCGGGAATCACCCAATGTTGAATGACTTCTCTTGGTTCGTATTTTTTCCATTTAAGTATTTATTCTTCTGATGAACCAATGATCAGGTTCGCTTTCGGAAAAGTATAGATTGGTTACAATTCTAAGCGCAGTCATGCGCGAAGAAAGAACCTAAGGAACATGTTAAAAATAACTTTTATGGAGACCACATTTCAAATCTGTGGATAGAAACACAAAAAATGATGTTATAAAATATTCTTTCCGAAAAATACTCGAGAACGAAGTTACCGTACTATTCTCTGATCTGCAATTAATTGNGGATAGAAACACAAAAAATGATGTTATAAAATATTCTTTCCGAAAAATACTCGAGAACGAAGTTACCGTACTATTCTCTGATCTGCAATTAATTGACATTAGACTTAACACCTACGCAATCACGTCGTCGCTCTCCAAGTCAAATCTTCTCATATTTTCCAAGAAATTTGCGTTATGAAAATTGTAAAAGCCTGCATACAATTGATGGAAAGATGGTTAATAAGTCCGTTAAATATTTTTCGAATTTTATTGTGCATTCTTCTTTCGCTTTTGTATCCGTACCGTTTTCCCCATCCATATTGTAATTAACAACCTCAGTGATCAATAATCAAGAATCAATCTGTAATTAGGACAAACCCACTTACTGTACTTTACAGGTTCGAAATGTGGGTACAAATTCCTTGTACGTGAATCCTCGCGACCGGTTTTCTGGGAGAAAATATTAACGCCACAATCACATGTGTTGTTTAAACGAAGTCCTGAGGGTTAGTGTAGCATATATCGTGATTTGCAATCGTGGAGAAGAATAATTGTATTATCATTTACTTATCGAAACCCTCAATTAAATCACTTTGTAGAGCTTTAAGTGTCGGTAGCAGGGACCTCTGCATCGGAAACGCTTTGCAATGCTTTTTGTTTCGCCACGACTTCAGCAACACTGTGCCACRAGACGATACAATACGCGTGTTCTCAGCGACAACAACAAATCTGCACGCTACAAATAATWGCTAATGGTGCTTACTCCGTTCATAAACTTTCTCGTTATCCATTGTCACAAAAATTATYCAAGTGAAATCAACTGAATAATGACGTCCGACGCCCGCCATCGCCCACTGAATCAGAATCAGCATCAGGATTCTCCCAGTATACGTTCACAATATAGTCCTCAACAGCAAGAGCAAGTTGACGWCGTCAGAAGTAACATCAGCATGAGCGACAACAATTATTGCTATTCTACTCATCCTGATTKTCCTCGCCGAATTGCTATGATAAGCACGATACAACACCTCAATAACAGAGCCTGTGTGCTCATCGCGATGAAAAACTTTTCGAAGGCCAACACTATGTTGGAAACCGCCCTTGTAATGCACAAACAAATGGCTRCTGTAGCCGGKGAATCATCGTCATCCTCCTCCTGTTCATGCTGTTGTGCAAACTCACGAGATCCTACAATTTCCAGTGACTATTATTGTGATGACAATAATATGCTCATGTACGACTCAGATTCGGATTTGGATTCGGACGAAGACGCCGATTCCGATTCCGATTGGGACGAAGAAGGAGATGAGTGCTTTAACTATGACGGCGGCAGTGAATGCTCAAAACGAACAGGAACAGAGACATCCTTTTACAGCACGAACTACAACCAAGAACACTCTGACAACACCAACAATATCAAGAACGAACGCTTGCGTCGAATGACCTCGTGTTCAAGAGTACGAACCTTTTCGTACACTGGACAACAAGACAAACTACGCTCCGCCCGAACGATGGACCGAATGATGTACCATCAAGTCTACAGCTTGCCAATAGTCGCCAGTCAGTCTGAATGGGAAGATGCCRCTATTGACGATCGATCCTTTGTTCTAATATTTAATTCGGCGCTCTGCAACCATCTTTGGGGGATGCAATTGCTTTCGCACAATATGCACACGCAAAACTTGCATCGGCAACGGGATCATCGATTGATTTACCAACGATCCTTTGAGATTGCAAAAGTTCTCTACGAGTTGGCACTCGAAAACGTTTCAAGAAGTTGCCGGCGCCCACAACAGCGAAGCAACGACAGTGATACCGGCGGGGGCATAATGGGAGTTGATCGAGTGTGCTTTTCAGCTGTTTTCAACAATGTCTCGCACGTCTGCAAGGTCCTGGGGGGATACAACAACTGCGAGGTCTACAAGTACGACAACCTTTTGATCAAGTCTATTTATTGGCTGATCGATTCTAACCCGAACATTCAGAACAATATCACGTTCCACAACGATGATACAAATAACAGGTCGAATTCTGACAATAACAGCAACAGCCAACATCATTATTCGGATTCCGCAACAACACTAGATGCAAATCAAAATCGGCAACTTCTGCGATCGAATGCCTCTTCGAATTCGAATTACAATCCTACCACAGCCGCAGCATCAAGCAACAACAGCCGCGATTACGACGAACATTACGACGAGAGCGAAGCAGAGATCATCGATGCTTTTCTTGAAAACGTTTTCTATCTCGTGGGTGTTCCACAAGCAATCGTCCCTGCCGCAGCAGCTTAATGCCAACTTTTTACGCTATCTAGATCTAATTTTAGTAACTAGCAACTGGGGAATATAACGCGTTTCGTAACAATTGCCATAAATTTGTATGCATCAAAATTTTGTGTATTCCTTGCATTATGCAATCCTCAATATTGGACCATAGTTCCCTTCCAGCAAACAAAAGGGACACCATGGGTGTTGTTGAGACCCTTTGTATATACAGGCTGGCAAAGAGAAGCGTCTTGGTGGAGATGTAAAAGGAAAACAAAAAACATCAGAGAAGAGGTGCAGAAGGGACAGAAGAATACCCAGGATTGCATTTGGCAAGTACACTGACTCCTCCGTTCTCTTCCTCTTTCAGTCAGGGGATGACCAAGCAATCCTTAACTGTTGTTGCATAGACTGTTGCATAGACCACAGGGTCTTGAAAGAGCTCCTTGAGATCTTTGGTCCAGCTTTCAATAGATACACAGCCAACAAGAACAATGAGATTGTTCCAGCCCCCCCCCCCMMYT